GCTGGTCTCCAGCCCTCTGCTCATTCCCTAGCTCTTCTCCAGCTTCTGGAGGCTAGAGATGAGCAGGAAAAGAATAAGGAGGATGGAGAGAAAAGGAGAATGAACAGGAGGCTCATTCCCCCCACCCCCGTTGGTTCCCCCTGATCCCCATTTGTTCCCTTGCTCCCCATTCATTCCCCACATCCACTGTTCATTCCCCCTGCCACCTGTTTATTCCCCTGCTCCCCACTCATTCCCCCTGCCCCCTGTTCATTCCCCCCATCCTGTCTTAATTCTCACAGCTCCCCACTTGGTCTCCCAGCCCCCTCCCCCCGCCACTCACTGGTAGTAGCAGAGAATGAGCAGGAGTATGGAGAGAGCAAGGGAAGTATCCATCCTCCTGCTTGTCTCCATCCTCCTGCTCCTTCCCCTGCTTGTCTCCAACCTTGGGAGGGAGCAGGAGGCTGAGACTGCCCCTGGAGACATTCCCCTGCTGTCTCCAGCCCCCTGCTCGTCTCCTTGGGAGGCTGGAGACAGCAGGGGAAGGAGCAGGAGGCTGGAGACAGCCCTGGAGACATTCCCCTGCTGCTTCCAGCCTCCTGCTTCTTCCCCTGCTCCTCTGAGGCTGGAGACAAGCAGAGGAAATGAGCAGGGGGCTGGAGACAGCCCCAGAGGCATTCCCCTGCTGTCCCCTGCTCTCCCAAGGCTGGAGACAAGCAGGGGAAGAAGCAGGGGGTTGGAGACATCCACAGAGTCATTCTCCTGCTGCCTCCAGGCTCAGGAGAGCAGGGGACAGCAGGGGAATGCCTCCAGGGCTGTCTTCATCCCCCTGCTCATTCCCCTACTGTCTCCAGCCTCCTGAGGTCCCCTCCCCCCCTCCTCCAGTCCCCCAACCCCCTGCTTACCTGGCAAAAGCTGGGTCTGGGTCCGGGTCTGGGTCCAGGTCCCTGGAGCTTACCCTGCCGCCTGTCTAGCATGGGCAGGCAGCGTGCTTCAGGAGCAGGGAAAGGGCCAATTATAGAGATGCTCTGGCACTGTGCCAGAGCTTCTCTGGAGGACTGAACCTCTGGTTGCCTGGTCTGGGACTGTGCCCTGACTTGTTTTTTTCCCCTGGGTTTTTGTTTGCAGCATGGGGAACATTTTTTCATTCCTGCACGTGCTTCTTGCCCCCCCTTAAAGGGGTTTGAGAAGGGGCAAGAGGCATGTGTGTGCTCATCTGGATGTGCCCAGGAAGTCTCCCCTTCTGACAGGTGGAAATATTCACTGCTTCTAACTAAATATTTGGAAGCCATTGAAAATATTGGAGGGGCCATGACCAGGCCCCCAGTCTCACAGGTCTTTAGAACTCAAACTTTTGGGCAAAGCCTGTGCTCAGGTCCTCCAAAGCCTTATGGAGGGAGGCAACGTTGAGATCCTCTGTCTGCAGCCCAGCAGCAAGGCAGGATTGCATATGTGGGGCCCAGTTTTCCAGCTCGGGGCAGACATTATGGACTGTTTCCTTAGTGCAGTGATTCTCAACCTTGTTAGGCTCAAGGTACCTCTTGGAAAATGCAAGCTCTTAGTCTTCACTTGTTTGAGTACAGAAAAATATTAGAGCAATTCTTCTGTTACACAGAACTTTGAAGGACCACAGTAGGCCAGCATGGTTTTAAACACTCTAGATTTCTATTGGAAATTTCTGGGTTTATCTTGTGAATCATGTCTGCACTCCTACAAGTGCTAACATTGTGTGGCACCCTGCAGCACCCCTAAAAGGATCTCAAGATACCCAACAGTGCTGTGGCACTCAGTTTAAGAATTTTATCCTAGTGGATTCTGGATGCACAGCAGATGTAGCTGAGAGAGATGCCCTTGCCCTAATGTCCCTCTGCTGAACATGTCCCATCATCTCATGTTCCATCAGTTGTGGTTGTGTAGATTAATCTGGGGAATGGAAAGAAGCATGCATCATGGTGGCAGAGTAAATTAGCCTTGTATGGAAGCTCAGAGTCACTGGCACAGTCTGGTCCCACTGTGTTGCAACAGTTAAAAGGTCTGGTTATAAGCAAGCAGAGAGTTGGACAGAGCCCTGTGCACCTTCATGCTGAACCTAGTCTAACACAGGGACAGCTCTATCGAAAGACCCCAGAAGATTCCACTCAATCACAGCTCCCATTCTTGAAAATTTACCTTAGTTTCTCACTGTACATGGATGAAGCCAACAGACTCCCCAAATACAAAGAGGATTCAACTTGAATGGTCTCCTCTATCTGCTGCAGCTCCTCTTCTTCCCTCCACAGTTGCTCTGCTTCAAGCATTTTGTCTACCTTCTTTCCCTCCTCATTCTAGTGTAGTGGGCTGCCAGTTGTGCAAGGGGGTCCACCTTGGGTTGAAGAGCTTTCGTAATGTTCAACACAGGCTTCAGCACCTTCC